ACCCCCTCGGGAAAGCATCTGGGAAAGGAGTTCACAGCCTCAGTGACGCTCTGCATTCGCAGTCTCAGGCCCATCTGCTCCTGGCCCAGTGCCATCCAATCCAGGCCGCTATTAACAAATGTTTTCTGCTCATTGGATCAGGAAAGCTACCTTATCGTTTTATTCCATCAAACCCAGTCCAACTAGGTTATCAGCATTTAACAAGTAGATAGAATTTTTTAATACAAAATTTTGTGTTGGGTATTTTTGATTGACCCAAAGCAGAAATCAAAGTATTTTCTTTCATAAAAATGCTTGTCTTGACTAAAATGTGCTGGCATCTTGAGCTCTCTAATCTGACTTTTTTAAAGGTACACAAACTAGGGTGTTTTTTTTTTCCCCTCATACAAATATGTTTGTGTAAGTTTATATATGTAGGTATTAAAGATCAGATGGAAAAAATTTTTCAGTTTCTGTTTATTTCAATAGGGTTTGGTCCCTGATAATATTTAGAGGGAAGTAGTGATAAGGATTAAGATAACTCCCTCTAGTTTGCAAGGTTATGTACAATGTTCTGCTCAGTCAATAACATAGCTAAAGAGAATTAGTACATTATGATTTGGCCAGAGGAAATGAGTAAGCAAACAATTCCATAAAATACCACTTTCACTGATGTGGTAATGTCTTCTCTTCCCCCAGCAGTTAAAAAATGATCACTGTTTTGGGATGCCCAATTGGCTTACAGAACATCAGATTTACACAGCAGAATTAACTACCATAGTACCTTGTTTCTATAGAATACTCTAGTTTGCAAAGTATTTTACACAGAAGAATTTGTTTAGGTTTTTTTAATGACACGTTTTCCATAGTCAATTTAGTATGCCTAATTTCTTCAAGGGAACTGACTCCTTATTCATCATTCCACTGTATAAAGTTAGTTAACTAAAAGGTGTTCTCACCTCGAGTACATCAGCCGCGCTCTGTTTATCTAGCAAAGTGCTCATCATCTAGGGAACCTTCAACTACTGTTCTAGACATTAACCACGTTGTTGATAAATTAAGAGATTAGATGAAACTCCGAAGAGAGATCTTAAGCATCCCCATGGAAGGTGAGCAGAAAACCAGTCCCATGCAGGTCTCAGAAGAAAACCCTAAGAAGTTTTAAGCCAGTACAGATGCCGTATCTAACATAGAGAAACAAGTGAAGGAAACGAGGATTCTACAGTATCTCCTAAGAGACCGGCAAAGCATTGTGTATAAAGGCAACTGATGCTCACTCCTGTTAACTCACCTTTAGT